GATCGAATAACGAGAATTGTTTTCGTCTTCTTGGCATTTTTGTGAAAATGCACCCTCAAGAAATAGACAGTCGAGGTATTGGCCACCCGTCGATTAACAAAGCTACTTCTTCAGATAGTTCGCTTCTTGTTGCACTGAAGCGTCTTGTAAAAATATAAGCGTGGTTGGGGAGTATTAGTTCCAGGAAGTTGTGCCTGGATTTCCTTGAAAGTTTATCAACCAATCAGATTAAGTATCTGTCTATATTTCTGAGATTAGGTATTATGTACACTATTTATATTATTCGGACTATTGTCCTCATCTTTGTCACCATATTTATTACAACGTTTCGGCCCTTCAGTATCTGTCGATATTTCTGACATGAGGTATTATGTACACTATTTACATTATTCGGACTATTGTCATTTTTGTTGCCATATTTATTACAACGTTTCGGACTTTCAGTATCTGTCTATATTTCAGAGATGAGGTATTATGTACACTATTTACACTATTCGGACTATTGCCCTCATCTTTGACGCCATATTTATTACAACATTTCGGCCGTTGTACACTCTGGCCTTCTTCAGTGACAGGACCCAAAGAGTGTGAGTTCAATACCCAGTTAAGGCAGTGGAGAACTTAGAGAGGGGAATTAACAGGAGATAACAGATAACTCACATCCATTAAACATGACGCGTGGAACTAGAACAGTCTACCCCAGTGAGTGAAGTAAAGGGTTCAGTTAGACATTCCAACCACCTGAAGAAAGCCGGAGCGTACAACGGCCGAAACGTTGTAATAAATATGGCGACAAAGATGAGGACAATAGTTCGAATAATGTAAATAGTGCAATCAGGTTAAGTTTTACAAAATTAAATTGAGTTTTCCTATTAAATGCCTGATTTCAATTTATCCCCCTTTAGTGCAATTTTTTGTAAAAAGGAAATTGTGAAAACAAAGGTCTTTACTCATTAGATTTTGGCGCAAATATTTGTCGCTCTTTTCGCCTGTTACACTTTTAACAGAATATAAAACAAGGAGAGCATTTCAATGTTCTGCTTAATAATAATTTTTTGCATAAATTTTTTAGAAAAACTTTTTTTAAATAAATTCATATAACCTTCCGTATTAGCCACAGACACTTGACCAACCTTGACTTTTGACATCAAGACAGGAAAACAGAAGATTTACTTGGAGGGGGGTGGATAAGAAATACATGGTAATTGCTTTTTCACTTGACACTATTTTTGGATAGCAATGGGAACCGGGCTATGGTAAGTATTCCATAAAAGAGAAGTAGCACTATGTTAAATTACAAAGAGTTGGGGATAGTATATATATATATATATATATATATATATATATATATATATATTACATGAATCATTCATACAAAAAGTAGATTAGTAAAGTTAATGATATAAAATGGCGAAAACTCTTCGCAAACAAAATTTTAAAGTTGCATTAACCTCTGAACCACTCGATGAATGTTATGATCCTTGTTTTTAATAACTACAAGTTGTATAAGGTCATTTTTTTTAATCTGCTAGTACTTTCAACTGTACATACAGTCATCCCCAGGCATGGAAATTATTTTGCTTTTAGTAAATCCAGGTAGTAGCGGAGACGAAAGATTAAATGCGAATCGAAATATGTTTTTTTAGAAATGTGTTATTGTTAATGGATAAAAACCTTTGGAGCGTGAAGTCGCGACGCTAAGGTTGATTTTTTTTTTTAAATTTAAGAAAGTGCGTTTTTTACTAATATGGTAATTTGAGAATTTTTTGTTGTAGGAGTTTTTCAGTCAATGTGGCATGAACTAAATTGTTCAATAAATAGAGTAATGTCTCAGCTGTTATCCCAAAAATTTGCACGTCGGATCAATTCTTTTAAATCAAATATGTGATGCAGTTCAATTTATGTTATATGAATCATTCAAGCAAAAAGTAGATTAGTAAAGTTAATGATATAAATTATATCATTAACGTTAATAATCTACTTTTTAACGATTATTTTCTCTAACAAAACAAATGCGATACAAAAAAGAAAATTACATTGGTGCGATTTAAAAGTCGGTGAATAAAGACATATTTTCTGTGAAATGGATGACCTTTTCAGATTTCTGATTTCAAATAAAAGTATGAATGTAAGTGCATGAAAAGAAAAGAATTAACATGCAAAGAGAGAGAGAGAGAATAAATTTACATACACCGTGTGAGATAGGAATTTTGAACTTTGATGGTCGGTGGAATCGGGATAGACGATTGACGACATTACCTTTGAAGTTGCTGGTATCTTGAAACGAATTTCTGTTGAAAGTGAGTATATCTATCGACCTCTTCGATGATGATGTGCGTTTATATTGCTTTTAAAAGGATCCCAGTCTAGAACTTTTTAACGCAAAAATAGAACGATTTAATTGATCTATTATTTTACCTCTCTGTTATGTGGCATGTTCCATACTACGTCCACAGAAAAGATGGATTTAAAATTGAGTTTCTAATTTTCAAAATCGATGACACAAGCATTGTTCTTTTGTGGGTATGTGTGCATGTAGCTCACACCCTATCACCGAAACTTATAAAACGGCGTAAAATGAAGAAGCAGTTATCACTATTTAATATGGGGAAAACTTTAACACATTTTCAGAAGAGTAATCTTCTATGTCTACCTAACTCGATGTCAAAGGTAAAAAAAAGGGATTGGCTAGCCACCCTAGTACGCTCTCTAGTCTCTGTTTTTTTTCATTGTCTGTTTTGGCGGATGTAGAAGATTTGAAATACAACACACTAAACTACTTTGCTTTATGCATTTCTACTATTTTCTTTGGAGGCACTCAAAACATCTTGTAGCGTTGCCCTAAACCTCTGTATCCTTTGACCTTTTCTGCAGTAGTATCAATCATAGTGAAGATTCCATGTTATTTTGGAGTCACGGAACACTGGGAATAGTTTTCTTATTGTAGTAAACGTTTATCAGTTTCAAGAGACTAGAGTGTGTACTAAGGTGGCTAGCCAATCCCTTTTTCAGGCGTCTGCTCATGTACATTTGTGCTCTTTCAGCATTTACAGAGCCAACTGCAACTATATTAAGCGAACCTTAGTTACAGTTTCTGAGAGATATAGTTTCACAACAACTTGTGACTTTGTAAGCACAACTATACTGGCGTGGGGCTTAGGGGAGTTGAAATAAACAGTTGATTTACCCACACCAGGAATCCTTTGGGATCTGACCACTGCTTTACCGAGATAAATGACGTAATGCCCAGCCACCGGTTGAACGGTGGGTAAACACTTGTAATTATTTTTAAAACATTAAATACCAATTATTTGCGAATTTTGATTCAGGAGCTCAGGTAGAAGGGTTAAAATTGTTCAGGAACACAGGGCTCAAAGGGTTAATAAAGAAGAAATACAGGGGTAATTTTAACAAAACAAGATAAATAATTTATTCTTGAATTTACCCTGTTGATCATCTCTTTTAGTTTATATAATCAAGAAGTCACCTTCTTTATAAATTAACTATCGTGAAATACGAACCCTGGACTCATGGTCGGGACATCAGTATTGTAACTACTCGACCACAAGCACATATAAATTAAGAGTAATTGCATCTTCGATTTACACCATTTCGGATAGCGAGGATAGTTTGTATGAATGTAGGTCTTTCATAAAGGGGAAATAGCGTAAAGCGAATTAAAAAAAAATAACGGAGAATACCTAAATGTAACTTGGAGACCTATATACAAATTGTTGATCCCATACGACTACTTGCTATGACCAGAAACATTTACAAGTTGATCTAGCCTATTTATTCCCCCTTTCATCTCTTCAGTAACAGGACTCAACCGGTGATTGTGGGAAGAGAAGGAACCCCCGAGAGGTGGGGAACAGTGACCACACCAGTAATTATACCAAGGGCTAACATAATTGCAAGATAATATACTGCCATTATAAATGTTATACAGAAGAGGTAAGAGACGTGAGTCTAATTACCAGTCGTAAGCGTTTAGGATTGGGACAGCAAATGGGATTTCTTTTTTTAGTATGGAAGTCCAAGTTGGACATAAGTACAGTACTATAAAAGTAGAGACATTGACTACTTTGGTCATGCTGGAAAGTCCTAAAGAAAAAAGTAGTTCTAAAGTTAAAAATTACTTTATTCAGGTATTTGATGTGCAACAATTGTTAGTAAATTAGTCAGACAATAAAGCTTGTGTTGTGAGTTTTGTGGGAAAATGAAATAAATAAATAATAAAAAAAACTTAACAAAAAGAAAGGCATTTTCCCATGATGCTAATAATAAAAGAACCGGAAAAGTTATTAGTCATCTGCATAATTTTATTACCCAACTTGGCTTCGACAAAAAACGTTCATTAGGTGGTGCTGTTTAAGTTCTTTGAAAAGACAAACATTGCTTTCTTCTTGAATGAAGACGTCTCTTTTCCCCGGTCAACTGACAATTGAACTCTCTTTTCACTTTACAACCCATAGCGTTCAGATATGTTTTCCAAAACTTTCCACCAATGAAGTAAGTAGAACCTTTATTCTGGTCGTTCCAACTAAGTGCAAGGCTGACTTGTGTTCGACCATTATAACCATTCATAGCATTACTTACCTAACTTACTTTTGGAATAGAAAAAGAAAACGGACATAACCAAGAGACACTGTGAACTTTGTTTCCCTACAGTTATTATAAAAAAACAAACGATCCATAGTTGAAACCTTTTTTTATTTGTTACTTTTGTTTTAATTGTTTATATGTGTACACGCATACATCTACAATGCACCAATAAACCTTAAATTCCATAGTTTTAGCCTAACGACTGCATTACGATTATTGCCATGTGGTTAAATATTGGTATATTGAAAAAGTTCCTTTTCGTTTAAGTACAAATAAAAGATTTTTTTTTTTTTTCAATATTATCTTTTTTCACCGGGCAAGAAAACATTATTATTCTCTATCTTCTGCTATCTTTCTACCAACTGTAGAATTCTATCTATCTTTTATCTTTCTCAGCAAATACCGCTTCTCGTACGATCACTGGAGTTAAGCAACAACGAGCCTGGTTAGTACCTATATAGGTGACCGCTTGGGAATACCAGGTACTGTAAACTTGGATGTGCAGGTGGTGTAATGGATAATGACTCGGAATTGGAAATAGGAGAGCCGAGTTTCAATTCAAGTCGGGGTTGTCATATTATGGGCAAATACATAAATAGTCGAGAAAAATCCAACACTCGCGGCCTGACAATTGCGTCTAGCATGAAACAGCCTGTCGCCTCTGAGTGTTGACATTAATGTTCACTTTTACATTTACATATGCTCTATCTCTGATATTGAGCACTTCATCCCATAAATATAGCACACCTTAAAAATATATATATATATATACACAAGGTGTGTATATATATATATATATATATATATATATATATATATATATATATATAAAAATTACATATATAATTATATATATATATAGGGTGACCCCAAAAAAGGAACTTTTAACAATTCAATAAAACCAAGAGTGATAGAAGAAAAATATTTTATTCATAGTAATTGAAATCTTAAAATATGCCATTTAAGAAACAATGATGGAATTTTCATTTTTTAAAAATTACGTCCTGTAGATGGCGTCCTCCTGTATGAATGCATTCCTGAAATCTGCTGTTGAGATTCCTCATTGACTGCTGCATCATCTCAGCTGGGATACTGTGAATTTCATCTTGATTTATAAATGGCGAAATATTTACTTGCTCAGGGTCACTGTCTCGCAGTGTTGCCACTTGCTCATGTCTGGCAATACGCACTTCAAAAATTCCCGTTTTTTGGGGTCACCCTGTATAAAGTGTGTCAAAAATACTTTTACAAATTTTGGGGGCATGTTCATCAGACCTAAACAAGGACAAAAGTTCATATAAACATATGTACACAAATCCTTTTTTGATACACCCTGTATAAATGTGTGCAATTTTTAAGCAATTAAACATTTCTTTTAAATCTTACAATATTACTTATTACTATAAGCATTATATTTAATGAGTATATGTGATTGAGTTGACATACATGTTTTTTTAAACAGCAGAATATCTACTAGTCGAGAGACCAAAAATATTATTAAAGAAAATGTACCTCCTGACAGAAATCAAACCTGTATTCCTTTTTAAGCTGAGGAGCCACCTCTAGGCCAGGAATGCTTTTACTATTAGGCTACAGAAAGACACTATTGTAAAGTCAAGTGGCACGACTCAATTACTCTCTTTTAAAATTACTTTGTTTACGTTTCAGGTACAAAAATAAAGTTAGCAGATATAGACTTTTAAATGTCCCAACAAGACATGAGCTTTTCCCAAATAGCATAATTGAGCTTTGTTTACTGTAATAACTACCAGTAGCTGAATGGTAGCAGCACACATGACCTGAAGGTGATTTCTAAAATTAAAAATTACATGTTTAAGAGGCACAGTTTTTTAAATAAGACTTTTGATGTCTACGTCAATAGATATCAATTTCAGTGTTTAAAAAATAATTGATATCAACTCATATATGCTCATTTATAATAATCGAAATGAATTTATTGAAACAAAGCAAGTTCAGTTGACCCTTGATAACAATTCCAGAACAAAGTAACTATAAACAATTTTTTTCTATCCTCTGCCAGCCGCAATGATGGAGAAAGCATTACCTCGAACCATCGCCAGGGAGACACGCTGCAAGAGCCACTCCGTTTCACGAGGCTCGTCCCTTAATCGAAACGCTATCGCGCCAATCCTCCGAAGGAACGCCATCGAACGATGGCCAATAACCCCAGAAGTCTCCACTGCCACAGGAGTAAAAAAAAAAAAAAAAACTATCACCAAGAGAAGAATATTTAACTATGTTTTTTTATCTCTACGTCCCAGGAGACGGATCCCGGCTCCACCGCGGACCTGATCAAATTACCGGCCGAAAATGTATCCGCACAGGTCGCATCCCAAATCAATGACTTACCCATTTAAAAGGGAAAATGGTAATGCTATCCGGCCTCTTTCCATCACCACGGTCGAGGCCTACGGGTTCGATTTGGGAATAATAAGAAATAAGTGCATGCGTATGTGCATTTTTATCCTAGGTTTCAAAATATAAATAAAAAAAATCTACTTTCAATCATTGAACATATACACATAACATATATAACTTGTATTTTCCATCAGCAGCAGTAATCAGCAGCAGCAGTAATCAGCAGCAGCAGTAATAATTTTTCATTCAAGTGTCAACCACTAATCTACTGCTTTAAAGGCCTTTTGTAAATAGGATTATAAGTGTTGTTAATGGGATTAGCTGCACTCAAACTTACATCGACAGTTACTTACATTATTTACATTATTCACACTGCTAACCTCATATTCATTGCCATATTCCCAATGTTTCAGTCGTTGCACACTCCAGCCTTCTTCAGGTGATTGAAATTTTGAACCAAACCCTTTATTTCCTGATATCTAAGTTATTTCCCTTTCATTCAAATCTCCGAGTTTGGTTCACCACTAGTATTGAACTCGCAATTCTTTGAGTCTAGTCATTGGGTCTAACCAAAACCACTATCCACTGGGCCATATGTCCTTGAGGAGACATCTAGAAGAGGCATGGCACATTGTGTCTGAAAATTTTGATTTTTTAATATTTTTTATTGTTCAAAATATATATATATGTATATCACACATATAGTGCTGGTTTTAATAAAACAGCGCTTGATGTAATAAAACAGAGCTAATAACTATATTATTGTCGCTCTGTCTGTCTGTTATCAAACTCCCATAACCTATGGCTATATTCTGAAAATACATTACCCAGGGTACTTGGATAAGTATATTTCATTTTGATCAAAGGGGGCCCCGGGGGTCACAAGTTCCCCCCACCCAACTGAAATTTTTTTTCCCTTTGATTTAAATTAAATTTAAATTTGCAAAAGGGAATGACTCTTATCCAAAATATAAAAGGAGAAAGTCAGAAGATGGAGGTCACATCAGCAAGATCATTTTGATCAAAGGGGGGTCCCAGGGGAGGGGCACAAGCCCCACACTGAAAATTCTTCAGGTGCTGAGTATAGACTGACTGTTACGTTACTTAAATTTTAATAAACATATCTGGTTACTACAATGTTGGCACAGTCGATTATACAGTATATTATTTTTTTAAAAATATATATATGGCATCTAAAATAAATTTGTATTTACATATATGTAAAAAAAAATTAATTTAGAGGTGTGAATATTCATTTTTTATATTAAGCATAAAGGAAGATTTGTGATTCTTTTGAAAACATCAAAAAAAAAAAAATTTACATTAGAAATTAATCTGGATCAACATATTTCAGATATTAATTTTTATGTCTACATGTAACTATCAATTCATTTCTCTTGTTTAATTAGCTATGGTTATTTAAGTATTTTAAAATAACTATTTTTTTAACTTCAAATAGTGCTACCGGTGAACGATAATATGTATATTTATTAATATGGGGATACCCGACGTTGCTCAGAAGTTCTTTGAATAATAGTTTATTATTGAATTGACAATTTATTGATATTTTTCAGCCATCTTATGGAATAGTTTTTTATTCAATCTTTAAAAATTAATTTCATTGTTGGGGGGGGTACAAAATAACTAAATTTAGGAAAATCCCACACTACCAATAACATGCATGGGGTGAGTGGGAGTTCTTACAGCGCTGGGCATCCTCATATTTTTATTCAAAAAGACACTTTATTTTTCAATTTAAATACTAACATAAATATTCTGTTAATGTTGTTTTCAAACAAATCAAACTTAGACAAAATTTATTTCATTTACCTTTTTTCAAATTATTATTAATAAAAAAGTTAATAAACTTAAGATTTAAAAACATATTTAATTTAATCATTTTTTCAAGCAAAAACAATAAGCCTTACTTCTTTGAAAAATAATTATTTATTATTTATTTTGGAGGGGAATTTAGATTTTTAAGTAAATAAAGTTTTACTTTTAAAAATTAATTACTATTTTGAAAGAGAGTAGAAACAAGATACATTGAAAATTTACTTTTGAAAAACGATTATGCTTAAATTTCAAGTTGTATTTTTATTTGAAAGGGGGAAAAACTTTAGTTAAATAAAAATTAGAAGAGACTGACATGACTTACGGTCAACATTAGTCCTGTTGAATATTTGTTTTATGAATTTAACTATATTTTATCTAAATTAATTTTTGAAAAAATAAGGCTCGCTATAGTTTTTGCTTTAATAAAACTTAATTGTAAATTATTTACTTTTTTATATTAGTTAAAAACCAAAAAAAAAAAAAATGAAGTTTATTTTTTAAAGATTAAATCAATAAGGTGGCCGAAAAATAAAAGTCAATAATACACACACATCCCCTTTCGGGTGATACTGAGTCTGTATATTTATTTTGTAGCTCTTGCACGATAATTTGAATAAGCACATTTGTGAAATAAATGTATTTAATATTCTTCTTCTTTTAAATTTACATTGTTGTTTTAATATTCATTTTTTAAAGTTACACTTTTATTTACTATAGATGGGAAAATAAATTTAAGAGAATAAAAATTTATTCTTAATCGGGAATAAGAATTATTACCATTCATTTTTACATTTTAATTCTGAGAATTTTTTTGAATGAATTCTAAATGCATTTCAATTTTATTTTTAAAATATCTTCAAAAATACAAATTACACAATGATAATTTTTTTTACAAAAAGCTGGCTTGGGTGATAATGAGTCTGTATGTATATTTACTTTGCCAAAAAAATATTTAGTTTTTTTACTTTTAGATGGACACACACACACACACACACACACACACACACACACACATTTGCTCATAACATTCCTTTATATATATATATATATATATATCAAGTGAGAGAAAGAACAGATGGAGTTAAAATCCGCTTTTCATAGGCATTTACTTTTAAAAAAAAACTCAATACAAAGTGGAGCAATATATTATTATTATTTTTTTTATAAGATTATAATAAAAACATTTTGAAATCACTAGAAAAAACTTTTTTGTTTCAATACTATTATTGTAAAGCCTTCAGGCGATACAATTTTATAATCATTGAAAAATGAAATA